AATACAAAATGTATAAATGAACAATGCCTGTCGAAGCTGAAGTATAGTAATCACATTACTTACCAGTAGTGAAGTACAGTATCTCCCAGAAGTGAGTCCACCCCTCACATTTATGTAAATATTTGATTCTATCTTTTCATGTGACAACACTGAAGAAATGACACTTTGCTACAATGTGACGTAGTCAGTGTACAGCTTGTATAACATGTAAATTTGCCGTCCCCTCAAAATAACTCAACACACCGCCATTAATGTCTAAACCGCTGGCAACAAAAGTGAGTACACCCCTAAGTCCAAACTGGGCCCAATTAGCCATTTTCTCTCCCCGGTGTCATGTGACTCGTTAGTGTTACAAGGTCTCAGGTGTGAATGGGGAGCAGGTGTGTTAAAGTTGGTGTTATCGCTCTCACTCTCTCATACTGGTCACTGGAAGTTCAACATGGCACCTCATGGCAAAGAAGACTCTGAGTGAACCAGCTTTAGTAAATACACCCCAAAGTGTCATTTCTTCAGTGTTGTCACATGAAAAGATATAATAAAATATTTACAAAAATGTGAGGGGTGTACTGTATGTCCCATATCGTTCAGGCAGTTGGATGCTGGAGAAATCTTCACTTCAAGGATGCCTTGTCCTCTTCCTATTTCTGAACTCTGTGATGGGTAATAGCTTTGGGTTTCATGCTAAGCTGCTGTGAAAAAGTTGTGCTACATGGCCATTTTTGAAGGACCCCGAGGTGGTATATCATAAAACATTTTAAGGCCAGAAGCCAGAACTTTAGTGAAAAGAAGGGAGGAGGAAGATGCCCATACATTTCAGGGTGAAGATTTCCTTTTGCTGAAGATCCTCCCAAAAAAGGGGGGAATCTTCACCCCTGAAATGTTGTACACGTTCCTCCTCTCTCCTTATACCAGTGTCCTGGTCTCTTTCCTAAAAAGTTTTCATTACATACTTCTCTGGGAACCATCTTTGATAATGGCCATACAGTATACTATATGAGCATACTAAGATCTTACTGTATTTAACATGGGGTTTGCCTATGTACTATACAGTGTGCTTGAAACTGAGATTTTGTATGCATTTATATGATTACCATAGCATTGTACATTGAATGTATGTATGTCAAGCTTGTTTTGACCTATTTTGTCCAAGAAAAATTGGGCTTTAACCCTTTTGCTCACCCTTCTGGAACTACCACTGGGGCAGCAGTTCTGGTATGTAAACAAATTCACAGGGGCAATAGCACCCAAGAGTTTGTTTACATTTTTTCACTGTGATGACAGCGTTCTAGAACAAATTATTTATGAGTCTCCCAATCACTTCTGCATGGCTGCAATGGTGCAATGATCCCCCCCCATTAACCCTTCCCCATAATGTGCCATGGGGCCCCTGGGCAATAGGGGATCATGGGGCCCCTGTGTCCTTCCCCAAACTCAAAAAAGCCTATGAAAAAGGTACCAGGGGCATCTCATGGGGCCCCCTACTGACCCCGGGCCCTCGGGCAGTGCCCGAGTTTCCAAATGGTCAGTCCGCCCCTGGTGCCCCAGTCTTACTATTTTTTCCTTAATGTCTGGGACCTGAAAAAATTATCCCAAGGTCGAGAGCGGTAGGAGAACATCAAACTTCCACATGGTAGGATGTAGACATGGTCTACCTCTATTTTCTGCTGTACTGCCAGCTCCATGCCCTGCAGGACTGGCTCACCCTCTACTGCTTTGACATGCAGCACCTGTTTCTCATTTTAGGCCTGCCTGTCAATGTAGTATTTCCTAAGAGGTGAATAGAATGTCTAGCTTCTTCTGAATCTGTGCTGATGGGGGGTAAATATGTGGTGCTTTTGATGCACAGTAGTTACCGCACAGTAATTTGGTGGCATGCTGCGTACGAAGAGGACAGCTCCAACAACAGTTCAGCAACAAGTATATGCTAAACACCCCAAACTCAAAAACAAATTAGCAAAATAGAATTATCCCCCCACCAAAAAAAAAAACCCATAAAAGACTAACCCCAGAAAAAAATCCCACGGTATACAGTGATATACTTTAACGGCATCCCAGTCTTAGTCCGTAGGGTTCAATATTGAGTTGGCCCCGCCCTTTACAACTATAACAGCTTCAACTCTTCTGGGAAGGCCGTCCACAAGGTTTAGGAGGGTGTCTATGGGAAGGTTGGACCATTCTTCTAGAAGCACATTTGTGAGGTCAGGCACTGATGTCGGATGAGAAGGCCTGGCTCACAGTCTCTGCTCTAATTCATCCCAAAGGTGTTCTATGGGTTGAGGTGCAGGTCGGTCATGTTCCTCCACCCCAAACTCGCTCATCCATCTCTTTATGGACCTTGCTTTGTGCACTGGTGCGCAGTCATGTTGGAACAGAAAGGAGCCATCCCCAAACTCTTCCCACAAAGTTGGGAGCGTGAAATTGTCCAAAATGTCTTGGTATGCTGACGCCTTAAGAATTCCCTTCATTGGAGCTAAGTGTGTATATATATATGCACTATATTGTCAAAAATATTTGGCCAGTCCTCCAAATCATTGGATTCAGGTGTTGTTCCAATCACCTCCATGGACACAGGTGTATACAATCAAGCCCCTAGGCATGCAGACTGCTTCTACAAACATTTGTGAAAGAATGGGTCGCTCACAGGAAAATATAGAATTTGCAAAAAAATAAACACAACAGTCATGAAAACATGGTATAGAAAAAACACTTTATTTACATAGATACATCATGGAGAAAGTCAAAAATTCACATCATAATATGTTGCTAAAATGTTTCCATCTTTACAAACAATACAAATACTGTTTTATGTAGCATTTTATGTAAAGATGATACAACACTAACACCTCCCAGCATTTTAAGTCTTCCATAAAGCTAAAAATAAATCTTAATAATAGTATCTAAACTTTCTTTTGTTTTTTGATATTCAAAGGCCGACCATAGACTGATCGATTTACTTTCCTGCAACTAGAGGTTTCAGGAAAGAAAATGGCTTGATTCCTCCATCAATACAGTAAGTGTGGATGTGAGAATCCCTCCTGTGGAGCCATTGTATTCCTCCCACTGGGAGAAACACAGTGATTATTGCTAGTGTCTAAAACAGTAGATAGCAATAATTTCATGTAAAATCTGACAGGCTGATTGTATCCAAGCTGATTGATCAATCAATTAACTTCCTGCTGAACTGGCTGAGATTCGAACCATCTATGGCTGACTAAATATCATAAGTAAAATGGATCCTTTAGTTTCTCCAGTAATTTCAGCCTGATGTACAGATTGCATGACCAGAACAATAATGAAGACATTTGGGTGGGCAAAGTTAAATAATGATAAATTATTCCATAAAGAAATTTATCTGCAAAGTAAAATAAAGATAAAATGTTTAGCTTGGACTATGATGGCGCTAAGATTCTGTAACAATGGGTGCCAATGATAGTGTATGGACCCCATAAACCTCATAAAGAACCACAGTACTAACAATCTGATGTTTGTACAGCGATCTCCCCTCTGAGGTATTGGCTGAGAGCACTGATCGGATATTAATCGGCAGACCTTTTTTACCTTCGATAGAAGCTGGCCAAACAGTCAATTTCTACCGGACAGTCAGCCGTACACACGGACTGAATGTTGGCTGGTTTTTACTGAACCAGACACCACTAACTGACATTCGGCCCATGTGTTCTAGTCTTTACATTCTGACTCTATACTCTCTGTTAAATTTGCCAAAATCATGTTATAGAAGGACAAACCTAAACAATTCATTATCTCTGTATCTTAATGTGCAGGTCTTTGCACTTCAAAAACGGGTGGAACATGTAACAGTGGTCACCAAACTGCAGCCCAGGGGCCAGATGTGGCCCTTCACTTGCCTGTATCCGGCCCTTGAGGCACCATTCCATCCAAAGACACCTATGACTGGGCACTATTCCTTCTACTGACACCAGTGTTGGGGCAGTATTCCTCCCACAGACATTAAATACCAACAATGGGGTACCATTCCTCAGACTGATACCAACAATGAGGTATTATTGCTTTTACTAAAACCAATGATGGGGCAATGTTTACTCCCACTGACACCTGGGCATTTTCTAATCCCAGTGGTCACAGTCTGGCCCCACTAATGCCTGAAGGACAGTTAACTGGCCCTTTGTTTAGAAAGTTTGGAGATCCCTGATGTAACATGCTCCAAAGGTGAACTTATCTTTTAAAACAGGAGCTCCACCCAAAAGGGGAGGTTCCACTTTAAGCCTTTTTCCCCCACTCCCCAGTAAGGATTGGCACCTTTGGGGAGCGGGTATCCGAATCTGACAGGTACCCACTCCCACTTCCGCTGCAATCGTCTAGACGTTCGGAAGCGGAATTTGTCCTCCGCCCCTCCCTCCTCGTAGTCTTCTGGGACAGGTACCAGAAGACTACAGGGCTATTCACAAAGTGCAGCGCTTCTCACGCATGCGCTGTGGGCACCCGGCTGTGAAGCCGCAAGCTGTCACAGCCGGGTGCCCACACTGAAGATGTCGACGCCAGGGAGAGAAGACGGCCGGTGAAACCAGCGGTGGTGAGGACACCGCTGTACCGAGGGACAGGTAAGTGGCTGTATTTTAAGAGTCAGCAGATACAGTTTTTGTAGCTGCTGACTTTTTTCTTTTTCCATGTGGAACTCCGCTTTAAGTACACATCAATACAGATACTGGGAACCGGCATACAATACTTGTGTTAGGAAAAAATGCAAATATCACATATTCAAATCATCTGTAGTTCACTATTCAGAGGCTAAATATAATTACAGTTTTTTTTTTCAAAACAGTGCAAGAGCCTATGTGCAATATGTACCTTTTTTAAAAGGCTTAAGGTGCATGTAACAAGTACAACTAAGTAGCTCATGGAAAAGGGGGAATTATATCTGCAGGTTCAGCTGTCACATTAAACCAAATGGCTTCTTGGTTGGGCATAGCGGGAAAGGAAGGATTTGAAGACTTTGCTTCTGTTGTCTGACAGTCATGTGATCACAATGCCGACTCCCCGGTGCCCTTCTGGAAGGTGCTGCGTTGCTTCTCCCACAGTTTCCAGTAACTGCCCTTGTTGTCCAAAAGCTGTTGATGTTTCCCCGACTCCTTGATCTGGCCTCCTTCCATCACCAGGATGTGGTCAGCCTTCTCCAAGATGTGCATTCGATGAGATATCAGAAGAATAGTGCGCTTCTTGGGGTTGTTCAACACCGTGCTTTGAATCTACAGAGAAGACCAATATCATGGTGGTTACCACTCTTAGCTTGTACTTGGTAAGGTCTGTTAATTATAACTAGATCAAAAGTAAAGCAGCCTGGCTCAGTTCTCCATTATAAGTCACACTAGGTTCACACCTAAGCATTTTCTGCAGTGTTTTGTAGAAACGCAGTACAGTCCATTTAACATGATTTCCTATGGGACAGGTCCACATCTCCGCGTTTTCACCTGCTGAGTTTTTTGGAAAGGGTCAGGGACTTTTTTAATGCAAAACATTGCATTTTTGGTTCTATAGACTTCAATGGGAAAGCTGCAAAACAGCATATTGCGTTTTTGCTGTGTTTTGCATTTTAAATCTGCCTAGAAACAAGAAAAATAAAAAAAAAAAAATAAAAAAAGTGCAAAAAACACAACGAAAAACGCAGTGCAGAAAAGCATCAAACTACATAGTTTTTTTTTTTTCTTGAAGTCCGCGAACGTGCGAAAAACGAAAAACCCGTAAGTGTTCACAAAAAACGTGCAAGTGCAGAACACCAACACAAAAAAGTGCACTTAGGGGTGTGCTTTTGTCCACCCCCCGAAGGGGTAGGATCTCTACCCTGATCCCCCGGGGGAAGGAAGCTCTTGACAGGGACAAGGTTCCCATGTGGTCCACCTAGCCAAAATGCCTGGCGGACCCCGTTCCTTTGTGCCCAGCTGAAGCCAGCCACCAAGTACTTGGTAGGGGACTCTTCCGAAGAGAAAACCCCCTAGGGACAGGGGAGGAAGGTACCAAAAGGCCACACATCCTCCCCCTAGACTTCAGGGTAGGCCCGAGGACCCACACCCTACCATCCTGTGAGAAAAAAAAAACACACACAAAAGTGAAAAGTGACAAACATGAGGATAAAAATAAATTAAATAAATAAGTGGCCGTGCAATTGTGCACTGGCTAGGCCCTGAGGCCCGTAGCAAAAACTGCCCAGGACTTAGCCAAAAAGCCTAGCCCTAAAAGGCGCAGTGCAGAAAAAGTGGTTGAATCAGTGACCATGTGCCTTTTCACACGTTGGGGTCCCACACCCAAGTGTTACTAAGAGCACCCCTGAAGCGACCACTCTCAGGGGGCACTGGTTCGCAGACTTTCTGCCTCCCCAGCCCCTGGCCAGACAAGGTAGATCCATTCAAACCAGGAGGAACTGGGCCCCTCTGGTTTTCCAGGGGGAATTACTCCCGGGCCCAGCAGCCTGTGGGCGCCTCGGTTTCTGTTCCAGCCTGTACTAACCATCAGGACCCCCATCCTACCAGCAGGGGTACTATACAACCAATCATCCCCGCATAACAGGAATGATGGTGGAGCGCCCCTACTGGACACTGATAAGAACAGATACTACACTTGATCTTAGCCAAAAGACTGAGAAGCATCAAACTGCATAGGTGTGAACCTAGACTTAATAAAAGGGGGGGGGGGTGTTCTACTGTTCTGGTAAATATGATCCCCTTTGTAACCCTTGGCATATAAAGTGCACCTACAGTGAAGGAAATAAGTATTTGATCCCCTGCTGATTTTGAATGTTTGCCCCTCACAAAGAAATGATCAGTCTAAAAATCGAATGGTAGGTGAATTGTAACACTGAGAGACAGAATAGCAACAAAAAATTCAAAAGAAATGCATGTCTAACAAATGATGACTGATTTGCATAATTAAAGACCATTCTATCAATGGGAGGCAGTGAGGCAGACTGCAGCAGGTACTGTATATGCATTGATCTGTGGTGCTGTGGTCACAAAATGCTATTCTTTATTCCTAATCCAAATGGGCCGCTATGTTAACGAGTATATTTAGCCAAAACTTTTTTTCTTAGTTTTGGATAGTAGAGAGGGATTAAAACCCCTGTTTGGTTTTTTGTTCTAGGAAAGTTCTTTACATTGTCATTTGGGATGCTCCTGTTATTTAGGTCACACATGTATATTTTGCCCTAAATCGATGTTTATTCAAAAAAGTTCTCCCCTACCCATTCTTCACCAACCAATCTAATTCTTCGTTTCTTTCTCTCTTACCCTGGAAGAATGAAAGGGGATATATACTGGTTCCTCTGAGCAACAAAAACTATTCTTCTCTTAGAAAATTGTAAAGGTTTTATGCATTATTTCCACCAATCCTTTTATCTTAAGGTTTACTTTTGTCTGGGGTTTAACAAACAAAACTACCTTTAACCACTTGCTGGCGGGTGGTTCATACAGGCACAATCGCATACCAGTACTTCAGCAGTGTCTTCAGGGTTCAAAGCATGTGTGTGTGCAAAAACCCCCTGCCCCCCCTCCCCCAGCCGACTCGCACTGTGATTGGACACAGCAAAATATATTCAACAGGTTTCAGCATGTGGCTGAGACCTGCTGATCTGCTGTGTCCAATCACAGCCCAGAGCCCTGTGTTGACAAAGGGCTCTGTACAGAGGGAGCGATCTGTTTGTTTATTCTCCCTGCAAGGAAGGAAGAAGGAACAAACAGATATTTAGTAAAAAGCAGTACATCCCACATGGAAGAAAAATATATTTGAAATATATTTTAAAAATATTCTTCCCAAATATATTAACATATATTTGAAATTTACAATTTTGGCCATATTCAATATATATTTCAAAATATATTTCAACAAATATATATATATATGTATATATATATATATACTGCATGTTGAAATGCGTTTTTATTACAAAATATATGAAAAATATTTTTAAAAATACATTTAAAATATACTGTATGTCTTTAAAAATACAAATCTACATTTTTTGAATGCATTTACAAATATATGTAAAATTATATGTTAAAAAAAATCTGAAGAATATATTTAAAAAAATATAGTTTTAAAAATATGTTTCATGTATTTTGCAATATATAAAAAACGAATTTCAACATGCAGTATATATATATATATATATATATATATATATATATATATATATAAATAAAAAATGCATTTCAACATGCAGTGTATATGTATATGTGTATATATATATATATATATATATATATATATATATATATATATAATATATTGAATATGCCCAAAATTGTAGCATTTCAAATATATGTCAATATATTTGGGAAGAATATTTTTAAAATATATTTCAAATATATTTTTCTTCCATATGGATTATTACAAACATTAACACTTGTTAGGCACACACCTAACCCCTTGATTACCCTGAGATGTTAACCCCTTCCCAGCCAGTATCATTAGTACAGTGACAGTGCTTTTTTTTAGCACTGATCACTGTATTGGTGTCACTGGGGATGTCAGTGGCAGTTAGTCAGTTCCCCCCCAGTGTCAGAATGCCTGCCACAGTCTATATGTATAATATTATAACTAATCACTGTATTAGTGTCACTGGTGATGGCAGCGTCAGTGCACCTCCCAGCAAGCATCAGTTAGTTGCAGATTGCCCACCGCACTATCACAGTCCTACTATCCCTGTTCACTGCCATTACTAGTAAAAAAAAAATTCCAGCATATATACTATAGTGTGTAGACTTTCAGAACTTGACTTTCACACAATCAATATACATTTATTGGGATTTTTTGTTACCACAGATACGCAGCAGAATACATTTTACTATTTGCGTGAAAAATTTAATTTTCATTTAGGTACAGCATTGCATGACCGCGCAATTACCAGTTAAAGTAGTGCAGTGCTAAATAGCAAAAAATGGCCCTGGCCTGGCCTGGTCATGAGGACGGTAAAGTCTTCCAGAGCTCACGTGGTTAATATCACTATGAGGGCACACTGAGTTTCCAACATGACAAGATAATCAGTTGCAACTTTCTCACCTTCAGCTCAGTCTTGGAGTCGAGGGAGCTGGTGGCATCATCAAGGATGAGGATCTTGGGGTCCCTCAGCAGGGCTCTAGCCAGAACTATTCTTTGTCTCTGTCCTCCTGAAAGAAGTGCTCCTTTCTCCCCAGCGCCTTTATCAGATAAAATATAGAAATTATATTGTGGTAGATTATATCATTTCCTAAAAAGAAAGCTTTTACATATTAAGATCACCAACCTGTATCATACCCATCCTCCTTTTCTGAGATGAAGTCATCAGCACTGGCGGCTTCAGCTGCTTTCTTTACTGAGGAGAAAGGGATATCCTGCAACCCGTAAGATATATTGTCCTTCAAGGACCTTGCTGTAAGGACGGGTTCTTGACTCACCACTGAAAGCTACAATAAAAGAAATAAATGATAAAGGAGATGTAACAACAAATGGCTCATGAATACATTTGTTGGAAAGAAAAAAACATTCTTTTTACCCATTGATGAAATATTACTGTTGCCCTATGCTGCACTGGAAACATAAACAGGAGACCAGGAGACAATGGGGTATGTCAAAATGTCTATTTTGAATGGTAATTTTAATAAATGATGGATTGTTCCCAAGATAAACATTCTCCAGTGACATCTACTAAAAGCTTTGTGTGTGACCACAGCAGAGAGCTGAGAATCTCTAGGTCCTTTTTGTATAAGGAGCAGACTATAAAAATACCCACCGTAGTACATATGTACAGCATGTGGAAGTAGACCCAGTCACATGACCATACTATGATCATGTAATTGTTTCATACCTTCGATGATATCACTTGGCCCGGAGCCCAAGTATGCTCCTAATAACAAAGACTTGAATGTGAATGTTGGATATTGGTACATACTGTATTTAGACTCCGAATAAAGCTGACAACCTCTGCTAAGCTCATCCTGGTTCTTTTATATGTCATGAACCTACGCAAGATCTCTAAGGGTAAATACTGGGAAATGGATGAATATTGTGGGGTCAAGACCATCTGGTAAGATGGCAATAGAATATGTCATAGGTTACCTTTTAAATTGTAAGATCTCATAAGCCTACTCCCTATCTTGAACTGTAACTGGACTTACATAGTTAGTCTGGTTGAAAAAAGACACAAAGTCCATCCAGTTCAACAAACAGAAGGAAAAAAAATACAATCCTATATACACAATTCTATACCCACAGTTGATCCAGAGGAAGGCAAAAAAAGTAAAGCATGATCCAATTTGCTCCAAAGCGAGAAAAGATTATTTTCTGATCCCCTGAGAGGCAATTGGATGTTCCCTGGATCAAGTTTACCTATAAATATTAGTATCCAGTTATATTCTGTGTATCCAAGAAAGATTCCATGACTTTTATTTAAAACAATCTACTGAGCTGGCCAGAACCAGCTTCTGAGGGAGTCTATTCCACATTTTCAAAGCTCTTACTGTTAAGAAACCTTTCCGTATTTGCAATTAAATATATTTTCCTCCAGACGTAAAGAGTGCCCCCTTGCCCTCTGTGATAACCTCAGGGTGAATAGCTCTACACCGAGTTCACTATATGAACCAATGATGTATTATACATGGAGATCATATCCCCCCTTATGTATTATACATGGAGATCATATCCCCCCCTTATGTATTATACATGGTGATCATATCCCCCCTTATGTATTATACATGGAGATCATATCCCCCTTATGTATTATACATGGAGATCATATCCCCCCTTATGTATTATACATGGAGATCATATCCCCCCTTATGTATTATACATGGAGATCATATCCCCCCTTATGTATTATACATGGTGATCATATCCCCACTTATGTATTATACATGGAGATCATATCCCCCCTTATGTATTATACATGGAGATCATATCCCCCCTTATGTATTATACATGGAGATCATATCCCCCTTATGTATTATACATGGTGATCATATCCCCCCTTATGTATTATACATGGAGATCATATCCCCCTTATGTATTATACATGGAGATCATATCCCCCCTTATGTATTATACATGGAGAATATATCCCCCCTCATGTATTATACATGGAGTTCATATCCCCCCTTATGTATTATACATGGAGATCATATCCCCCCTTATGTATTAAACATGGAGATCATATCCCCCTTATGTATTATACATGGAGATCATATCCCCTCTTATGTATTATACATGGAGATCATATCCCCCCCTTATGTATTATACATGGAGATCATACCCCCCTTATGTATTATACATGGAGATCATATCCCCCCTTAAGTATTATACATGGAGATCATATCCCCCCTTATGTATTATACATGGAGATCATATCCCCCTTATGTATTATACATGGAGATCATATCCCTCCTTAATCTCCTCTTCTCAAAAGAGAATAAATTCAGTTCCTCTAATCTTTCCTCATAGCTGAGCTCAGTTCCCTGATATTCTTTTTGTGAATTGGTTCCGAAAACTGAACTGCATATTCCAGATGAGGTGTTACTAATGATTTGTTCCGGGGGAAATGATATCTCTCTCTCTGGAGTCTATACCTCTTTTAATACAAGAGAGGATTTTGCTTGCTTTAGAGCCCACAGCTTGGCATTGCTGCCATTATTAAGCTTGTGGTCTACCAGAACCCCCAGATCCTTCACCATTGATTCCCCCAGACCTGGCCCTGTCATTTAATTGTGGTGTCATATCCCATATTCAGCAATCTGTTCTGACTAGTTGTGTTGTCAAGCTCTCCTAATGTCTGTAAATAACCATCAATGTGTGTAAATACATTTACTTTGAATTCCACCATAAGACAAGTGGTCTTTGCTGAGTTCCACAACACAAGCAATGCCCTAAGAGGCAGTGCCCTTTCATATCTAATAATATGAAAACAGCATGCTAACCTTTTTGCAGTAATACTTGTTCTCATATTCAGACAAAGGTTTCCCATCGAGTAGAATCTGCCCCGTCTGTGGTTCATAAAACTTAAGCAACAATTGGACCACTGTGGACTTGCCGGCATCACAAGGGCCTACCAATGCTGTCACTTGACCTGGACGTAGCTCAAAGGAGACATCCTAGGGATTTAGAAGGTAGATATTATCACCATCATGTCCATATGTAATCTTCTCTCAGGATTAAAAGATTCTCATAACTGTAATGTAGGGGCAAAAGGTGTTAAATGTTATACTTGGTTACAGAATTATTAGAATTTTTGGAATGACTTATGGCATCAATAGCACAGAGTGGTCAACAATGTTGCTCCTAGAACTTGGTTCATGCCTGTTCAATTTTCAATACCTGCACTCAGTAGCTTTTGTTTACCAATGTTGCCTTACTAGAAGTTGTATGAATGAACCTATGTTCCTGTATACATGTTTGTATCTTGAATAAAACCTAATAAAACATATTGAAACAGAATTTTATGGAATAACTCATTAATGATGAGAAATTACTACTGCTTCAACTAGTTATTTCATTTTGTTTTTGTCTGATTAATGGTACTTTGAAAAAGTTGCGATATGATTATCAATCAATGATACACATGCTGAGTCTGTGGCCATGGTGCTCCCTGATTGGACTGGACTTATCCTCAGCTCGTTCTTTCCTAAAATTGCCAACATTTTATGCTGTAAAGACTATCCTTAGACACTTTAATTCTGTACTTGCATTTTTAATCTTGTAGTAATAAAACAAGCCATCACTGACTTTTGTAGCTGGATGTACTGTAGAGAAATTCATCATCAAGTTTCACAAACACAGTGAAGTTCTCACATCCTGTCTCAGCTCTCTGCTCTCCTTCCTGTGTACTTGCTCTGTGTTTACATTAGGTCAGAAGGCTGGCAGGCTGTTGGGTCACTGCGGAGAGGGGAGAGCTGAGATGCTGAGAGAAATTGAAAGTACAATTCAAAAGCTTCTGCTGCAAACTTGGAGGATGATTTACTCCACAGAACCCACAGCTCTAAAGGTCAGAACATGCTTTTTTAAAAACATATTTCCTGCTTGTTACAAAGCTGTATATATTTAAATTTGCATAGCCTGGCCATAGTTCTATTCTAAATTAAACATACATTTATAAAAAACCAGGACTTTGTTGTGTAGCTTGGTATTTAACCCTCGTATTACAAGAGCTTGTAGAGATGATGCAATAAGGAAAACTACAGCGGCACATAGTAACCAATTACAATGCACTAATCTGACTGCAGACAACTGCATGGGTAACTACATTCAGCACATCAACATGGACCTGTGCCATGTTTTACAAATCCTATTTCAGGGAACTGGAGATGGCAGACTTTGTGACGGTACCTGAAGAGCGGGTTGATCTGGTCGCTTAGGATAAGAGAAGGTGACATTTTTGAACTGGACATGGCCCTGAAGGTTATCTGGCTGAAGGCTTCCTGCAGTTGGCATCTGTGGGATTCTGTCCATGTACTCAAATACTTTTTCCGAAGACCCAACTGCTTTTCGGACATCTGGGTACAGCCTTAGCAGGACCTGAACAAGATGCAAGAAAGATACATTATGACCAAAAGTATGTTATAAACCGTCTAAATGATTGGTTTCTGGTGCTTCTAGTGAAGGGATTTGTTGATGCTACAGCATAAAAAGACATTTTAAACCACTGTTCACTTCCAACCTTTTAGCAACAGTTTGGAAAAGGTCCTTTTTTCTTCTAGCTTGAGTTGGCCCTTATGCACAAGCATATGGTTTGATGGGTTTAGTGTGGAGGAACTCAAGTGGCTAGTGCAAAGCCTTAATCTCAACTCTACTGAATTGGAACTCGGATTATGAGCCCCACAAATGCTCTCGAAGCTTAGTGGGCACAAATTCCCACAGACCCACTCCAAAGCATTGTGGTAGAGTGTGGGATCCATATTAATACCCATAATTTAGAATGGGATGCCCAGAAAGCTCATACAGATGAGATGGTTAGGTGTCCTGAAACCTACGGTCACACTGTGTATGTCTGTATATGTATATATCTATATTATACCTGTATATGTATATATATATATATATATATATATATATATATACACTCACTGACCACGTTATTAGGTACTGCTGCTTGGTAACACAAATTGCAAATCAGCCAATCACATGGCAGCAACTCAATGCATTTAGGCATCTAGATGCGGTGAAGACGACTTGCTGAAGTTCAAGTTTAGCATCAGAATGGGGAAGAAAGGGGATTTAAGTGACTTTGAATGTGGCATGGTTGTTGGTGCCAGGTGGGCTGGTCTGAGTATTTCAAAACTTGCTGATCTACTGGGATTTTCACACACAACCATCTCTAAGGTTTACAGAGAATGGTCCGAAAAACAGAAAATATCCAGTGAGTGGCAGTTGTGTGAACAAAAATGCTTTGTTGATGTCAGAGGTCAGAGGAGAATGGGCAGACTGGTTCGAGATGATAGAAAGGCAACAGTAACTTGTGTCAATATGGACCAAAATCTCTGAGGAATGTTTCAACACCCCTATTGAATCTGTGCCATGGAGAAGGAAGGCTGTTCTAAAGGCAAAAGGGGGTCCAACCCGGTACCTAATAAAGTGGTCGGTGTGTGTGTATATATGTGGTTAGCACGTTTGCCATGCAGTAAATGGGTCATGGGTTCGATTCCCAACCATGGCGCCTCCGACATGGAGTTTGCATGTTCTCCCTGTGCTTGTATGGGTTTCCTCCGGGTACTCCGGTTTCCTTCCACCCTCCAAAGACATGCTGGTAGGTTAATTGGCTCCTGTCTAAATTGTCCTAGTTTCATCCCTGGCCATGTGGGATTTACTGCATGTGAGGGGTTGGGGAAAGACCTGGCAACCTACCCTGTAAAGAGAATTCATGGAAAAAGTCGTTTACGAGTGACGGTCCATGCAATTGCCAAGGGTCGGATATGACTGAATGGATATATATATATATATTTACATTTGTTTTTTGGAATGGTTCATCTCAAGTTCTTACCTCTACAGCTGAAGTAAACTGCAGCTCATACATCACAAAAGACACCAGTTCTCCTCCGCTGACCTCTCCCTTCGTCACTAGCCTTCCACCGAAATACAGAATGCCCACCTTGAGAGCCAGACCTACAAACTTCAGGAGAAAAAAACAATACTGATGTGAATTTTGTATTACATGTAATATGTCTCTGACTTTTACTGAACAAGGTAGGCAATAACAGGTTTGTGGCTATTTCCCTTTGATTTAAAACAGATAGCATGGAGGACAGGTCCACTTAAAGAGACTGAAGAAGGGATTGTGTTAGTCAGAGCTCTTGTCTGCTTTTCTGCTTATTTCATAATCCAGTGCAGGCAAACCTACTATAAGACTGATTGGCTGTTCAGCTGGTGTTCAGAAAATGGTGTGAGTTTTTTTTTATACTGGGGAGATATGATTATGAAGCAAGAAGTTAAAAAAAAACAATAAAATACAAGTACCCTTTCTAATGGCTGAAATGCAAAAACATACCTTTAAAGTGACATTACTTGTTTTTTTTTGTTAAATAACAAACATGTCTATACTTACCTGCTGTGTGTAGTGGTTCTGCACAGAGCAACCCGGATCCTCCTCTTCTCGGGTCCTCCGCTGGCACTCCAGGCCCCTCCCTCCTGCCTAGTGCCCCCATAGCAAGCAGCTTGTTATGGGGGCACCTAAGCTGCTGCTCTGTGTGTCCATCCACACCCCTCTCTCTCCTCATTGGCTGTGATTGACAGTAACGGGAGTCAATGGCTACTGCTGTTTCAGCAAATGAGGAGGTACAGACCAGTAAGGGCTGAGGCTCTCGTCAACATCACTGGATCAAAATGGGGCTCAGGTGGGGGGCTGCTGTACACAGAACGTTTTTTCATGCATGAAGGTAAAAAACCTTGAGCTTTTTAATGCTTCATTTAAAATGAAGAGAATATGATATGTGCTGTATGTATGGTCAACTAATCTGGTTAGGATGGATATGAAGTTTGAAGAGGTAAACTTAGAAATGAAGATAAAAGAAATGTGATAAACTGGGTATGACATGGCACAATATTAAAGATATGAAGGGGTTAATGATTTACTAAAGTGTGATCAAGACAAGTGAGAGTTAAATACCTATAATGAGGAACAAGTATGTTGATACATCAGCTATTCATAAAGTCTTATGATGAAGTCTCCATATCACGTATGCCAGGACGCAGTTTACAGAATCCTGAACAAGTGAAGAAATGCTGCAGGTTCTATGCGCTTATGAGCGGGGCCCACTGTGTTTCTGCGCATGCGCAGGCAGGGACGGACTGACAACTCATGGGGCCCCCGGGAAATAGGGGATCATGGGGCCCCTGTGTCCTTGCCCAAACTCAAAAAAGCCTATGAAAAAGGTACCCGGGGCATCTCATGGGGCCCCCTACTGACCCCAGGCCCTCGGGCAGTGCCCGAGTTTCCAAATGGTCAGTCCGCCCTTGTGCGCAGGAGATTTGATGTATACTCAGACATGCTTCAGAGATCTGCCAGGTTCCATAGACCTGGCAAAGATTACTGTGGCATATTTGTGCATGCACTGGATCTCAATTCCAGATGGCGGCACTGAAGAAGAGCAGGGTAAGAAGGACTTTCCCTGCAAGCAATGCTGGTCTCCATGGAACAGCAAGTGTGTTTTTTTTTTTTTTTCATTTTTTTTATACAGGGACACATTTCAGAAATCTAAAATATGGTTTTTAAAAAGTTGGAGTTCTTTTTTATGAACCCAAGTTTACAAATCGCATGCAATGAGGCTAACATAGAACATGTCAGAGACAAGTCATGCTGTACTCACGCTGTTGGCCATTGCACTGAAAGCATACGCCATGGACTCCTTCCTATTCAGCTGGTAGGTATCCTTGAGCTTTGTCTCATGTCGTAGACACTCGCCCTCCTCGTTGGCAAAGCTACGCACTGTCTTCATGTTAGAGAATGTTCCAGAGCCACCTGATTGACTTTTGAGAGGGATTCCTGGACCTGCCTGGCCAGATTCTGAAAGACAGAACAATAAATGCAACAATTTCAGTTCATTCTAAAAGTCTACAAGGGACAGCACTGCGGCTTGTTTTTTGTCCCAGTTGCTATAAATCAGCCACTCTGTGCCTCCTGCCACAGTGCCATCACCAGCCTCAGGAATGCATTCTCTAAAACACAAGCCCACACTAATAGGTCTGCTTTCTCTGTTCATAACAGGTACACTTTACTACAGCTAGCAATTCGGTCTGTAAGCAGCAGTAAAAACACCTTCAGATCAAACAATAGCTAAATCCAAGCCACAAGCTAGTTGATTCCATAGGTTGACATTTGCAGGGCTTGAAAAAAATTTGCTTTGAATCTAGGAGCCACCTATAAAATTTAGGAGACTTTTTTTTTTTTTAACCACTTGCTTACTGAACATTTTCACCCCTTCCTGCCCAGGCCAGTTTTCAGCTTTCAGCGCTGTCACAATTTGAATGACAATTGCTCAGATATACAACACTGTGCCCATATTTATTTATTTATTTCAGGTACTTATATAGCGCTGTCAATTTACACAGCACTTTACATATACAGGTGAAACTCGAAAAATTAGAATATCGTGCAAAAGTTCATTTATTTCAGTAATGCAACTTAAAAGGTGAAACTAATATATGACATAGACTCATTACATGCAAAACAAGATAGTTCAAGCCGTGATTTGTCATAATTGTGATGATTATGGCTTACAGCTCATGAAAACCCCAAATCCACAATCTCAGAAAATTAGATTATTACATGCAATCAATAAAACAAGGATTGTACATAGAACAATATCGGACCTCTGAAAAGTAGAAGCATGCATATGTACTCAGTACTTGGTTTGGGCCCCTTTTGCAGCAATTACTGCCTCAATGCGGCGTGGCATGAAAGCTATCAGCCTGTGGCACTGCTGAGGTGTTATGGAAGACCAGGATGCTTCAATAGCGGCCTTCAACTCTTCTGCATTGTTCGGTCTCATGTCTCTCATCTTTCTCTTGGCAATGCCCCATAGATTCTCTATGGGGTTCAGGTCAGGCGAGTTTGCTGGCCAATCAAGCACAGTAATCACACGGTCATTGAACCAGGTTTTGGTGCTTTTGGCAGTGTGGGCAGGTGCCAAGTCCTGGACATGGGCTTCAAATGTCGTATTCCTCTTGTCAAGCCGCTCCTGAACAACAAACAATGTCAGAAGCGTCTTACCTGGGCTAAAGAAAAACAGACCTGGTCTGTTGCTCAGTGGTCCAAAGTCCTCTTTTCTGATGACAGCAACTTTTGCATCTCATTTGGAAACCAAGGACCCCGAGTATGGAGGAAGAATGGAGAGGCACACACTGCAAGATGCTTGAAATCCAGTGTAAAGTTTCCACAGTCTGTGTTGATTTGGGGAGCCATGTCATCTGCTGGTCCACTGTGCTTCATTAAGTCCAGGGTCAACGCAGCCGTCTACCAGGAGATTTTCGCGCACTTCATGCTTCCTTCCACAGACAAGCTTTATGGGGATGCTGACTTCATTTTCCAGCAGGACTTGGCACCTGCCCACACCGCCAAAAGCACCAAAACCTGGTTCAATGAATGTGGGATTACTGTGCTTGATTGGCCAGCAAACTCGCCTGACCTGAACCCCATAGAGAATCTATGGGGCATTGCCAAGAGAAAGATGAGAGACATGAGACCGAACAATGCAGAAGAGCTGAAGGCCGCTATTGAAGCATCCTGGTCTTCCATAACACCTCAGCAGTGCCACAGGCTGATAGCTTCCATGCCACGCCGCATTGAGGCAGTAATTGCTGCAAAAGGGGCCCAAACCAAGTACTGAGTACATATGCATGCTTATACTTTTCAGAGGTCCGATATTGTTCTATGTACAATCCTTGTTTTATTGATTGCATGTAATATTCTAATTTTCTGAGATTGTGGATTTGGGGTTTTCATGAGCTGTAAGCCATAATCATCACAATTATGACAAATCACGGCTTGAACTATCTTGCTTTGCATGTAATGAGTCTATCTCATATATTAGTTTCACCTTTTAAGTTGCATTACTGAAATAAATGAACTTTTGCACGATATTCTAATTTTTCGAATTTCACCTGTATATATTGTACATTCACATCACTCCCTAACCCTCATATGAATTTTTTATCATGTTTTCACACAAATAGAGCTTTCTTTTGGTGGTATTTTATCACCACTGGGGTTTTTAATTTTTTGCTAAATGAAAAAAAAGACCGAAAATCTTGAAAAAATTTTTTTTTTAAATTTCTCATATAAAATTTAGCAAACTTTCTTCTTGGATGGTTGTAAGATAATATGAACATTTGGGACTGGATATTATCCATTTATTATTTATTTATGAATAAGTAATATTTGGATATTGGTTCTGATTTATTTATTTGATATATGGTACAATTTATTAATTCATTATCATTACACTGCGCTGAACTATTTTGGATACACTTAGATACAGTGGAGTGTTGTCACTCTGGGACAGGACGTGTGTTACTGGAAGGATCACTAGGTGCAAATAGTCTGAGAAAAGAAAAGTAATGTAGCCACAACATCAAAGGTCTGTGAGCTTCAATATTTTACATTTTTGTTTTTAGATTTAGATATGCTTTACACAGAAACATTCACTGTATGGGAAGATTTACACCCGTGTTTATAAGTGTTATTAGCAGCTTACTCACTAAACAAACCTTTTTCTTCTAAGATTTGAATCCATTGAAAACTGAGTCTCACCTGGTAAAAGGCTCCCGATAGCTGTGGCACGAGCGTGATGACGAAGAGGCACAGTATAGTGAAGAGCGTAAGCTTCATAGACAAGCTGAGCATATAGGTTACCAGGAAGATGAGTCTCATCAGGTACCACATTAGTAGGCTCAGATCTGAACTGAGTGATTCACTCATCGCTGTGATGTCAGCAGTGACGCGTGACGTGATGTCACCTATCGGGGGAAGAGTTGGTTATTGAAACATCTTACAAATTATGAGCAACCCAAAGTCATTAGTCCCCAAGTCATTACACCTCTACTAAAGACTCTCTGGCCATATACTAATAGGTTTTCTTGTTCAGCCTGCAGAACTCTAAAGAAATCTAACAGATTGACCTGACTTCTTGACCAAAAGTTGATTGAGTAATCAACTTTTGGTGAGACAGCAGGACCACCCATGGTTAGAACTTGGTCGACTTTCTCTGAATCGGTTGAAATTCCAAAAGTGTATGACCAGACCTGCAGGCTTCCACTCAGGGGCGGACTGACCATTCAAGCACTCGGGCACTGCCCGAGGGCCCAGGGTCAGTAGGGGGCCCCATGAGATGCCCCTGGTACCTTTCATTGGCTTTTTCATAGGCTTTTTTGGGCGTGGGTGAGGACACAGGGGCCCCATGATCCCCTATTGCCCGGGAGCCCCATGAGTTGTCAGCCTGCTTCCACTAGATTCTTATGTATTGGCATTGAAAAATATTTGGCATTGAATTCAATTAGATTTTTTTCCAAGGAGTGGAGGTCGTAAAACAGAAATTAGAGATATAGGCACAAGTACTAAAACAAGATAACCAACTATAGAGATGAACATTAAGATCTGATGATTTTGCAGTTCTAACGTGGCCTGCTCAAACGTGGACCTGGCCATTTTATGACTGTGAGGTCTATATTACCTGTAGGTACAGCATCGAAGAATGTCACGTCCTGGCTCAGGACGGAGCGGAGGACCTTTCCCTGTGTCTGGGTGTGCACCAGGCTCATGGTGATGTTGTAGATGCAGTCACAGATAAATTCAGTCAATGCACTGCAAGGCAAAAGATGGTACTGAGGAACATGTCCAGTCTAGTTACATATCTCCAAATGATCTGAGATGGGAGAGATGAACACCCTGTATGAAGGCAAAGGACACCCCCTGCCATGCTCCCAGTTATGTGGGCCATAAAGAATTACAGCCGAAGTTTAGCTAAAACAAAAAAAATGAAAAATCAGCACAAGGGCCATAACTTACAGTAGGTAGGATGTGCTGATTTCTCTTCTGTTAAACTGTTACTAATCCCAAAACAGTATAATCAGGCTGTATCTGCAGTAAAGCATGCTTGGTATACTCACTGTGGAACCTAAGGGGTTAATCCTCTGCATTGTGTAAAAAGGATATTTGATCCTTTCATCTCTGCCCTTCCTCTTGTTGAAATGACCACCTGATACAGACTGAATCTGTAGGCACATGCACATGCTCATTTTAGTGTGTATTGCTAGAGAGGTTTTTTTTTTTCTCTTGGGAGAGTGCATGTGATCAGCACAGAGCCAATCAGCACTGTCCAGACAGAGGGTCAGAGATTTCACATCCTCCTAGAGCAGAGAGAAAACTCCTCCTACAACTTTAATTAGTACTCTGCTGAAGTCACAAGACTGCTCTAACTGCTGATGAGAAAAGTTATTTAGCAGTTTATATTTATCAGGGGAAAGATTCCCGATCCCTCCTCTGCCCTCCAAGGCAGACGATCAAACAGAGATCTGTTTGATTGGCTGCCTCCCTGGATGTACCAGCCTGGGAACAGATGTTCCCTCAGCGATTTTTCAAATACAGTTTTTTGGGAAAAATACACTTTAAGGAATTTAAGTGCAAAAAAACACAATATTTAACCCAATTTTTTTGTAAAACATATAAGATGATGTTACCTTGAGTAAATAGATACCTAACATGTCACAATTTACACTTGTGGAATGGTACCAAACAAAGGTACGTAAAAATCTCCATAGGTGACACTTTAAAAATGTTTAAAAAGTTAGCAGTTTAGAGTTAGAGGAGATCTAGTGCTAGAATTATTGTACTTCCTAAAACATTCACAGTGATACCTCACATGTGCGCTGCGAACACCGTTTACATGTGTGTGCGATTTACGTATGTGTTCCAGTGTGCTTGCGAACATGGTGGGATGAAGGAACTTACATTTTTTTTTTTTTTTTTTACACTGTCCCTTTCATTTTTTATTTTTTTTACTTTTAATCCTATCACAAGTAATGTAAACATCCCTTATATTAGAAATATGCATGACAGGTCCTCTTCAAGAAGAGATTTGGGGTCAAATAGATGCCAAATCTCTTTAAAGGCAAAAGATCAAAAAATTGTTTACTTCTGCCGACGACTGGATGTGACGTCATGACGTCGCTCTGGTCCTCCATCATGATAGAGGCGATCAAAGAGTGTTTCATCGCTGCAATCTTGAAGAGTCCACACCATCAGATCGTTTCTCGGGCCGACCAGCATTAACAGCAAGCTCGAGAAACACTGGTGAGCAGCGTGGCATCCCCTTTTGCCGCTATGGAAAGCGATCCAGCAGCTCAACAGCTGCTAGGACCTCTGTTGTGTGAAAAACCGGCCATCTCCTGAAAAAAAATGGTACTGGGGTTATGGCTGATTTCTTCAGCCACTTGACAACCGCAACGTTTATATATGCAGTCGTCAAGTGGTTAAGGAGGCATCTGGGGTCTATAAGACCCCAAATATCTCTTCTACCCTGGAAAGCATGATATATAAAAAAAAAAAAAAAATCAGTATCTGCTTTCTTGGGAAAAAAAATGGCAGTGTTTACATCTGAAGTGACGTCATGACGTTGCTTCAGACCTCCCAGGATTATAGAGATGGCTGGGGACTATCTGGGTCCATGGCCAGCTCTGTGGTAACCAGAAGTTGTCGTTGGATCAGATGCCAGGCTCTCTGATTGCACAGGAGAGCCCAGAGAGGGACGGTTGGTCAGTGGGAGGGGATGCCTGTAAAAGCAATCCAGCAGCTAATCAGTTGCTAGGATGGCTTTTACAAGAGAGAAATGCTGCCTGAAAAGAAAGATCTCTAGATGCCTGTAGCTGCAGGCATCACCCAGATACCTCTACTTTAAGTCCAGGACATCATATGACAACCTATGGTACCCAATGGTGTACTTCATTTAAAAGGCCTGAATGTGTAGAGACGAGTGCATTGGTTGTATCGGTGAAGAGGCGGGGCATAGCCATGTCACAAACGTTATAAGTGTGGGCAGGCCTGCTGTTAGAAACCACGGGGCCCGATACAGCCGACCTAACAGGGCCCCCCTCTAAAAAACAAAACAAAAACAGTTTACTATGCTTCAGTTATGAATGAACACAGTGAGTGATAGGTACCGATCACTCATTGTGTTAATTTGGGAAAGGAAGGGGCTGGTAAATGTGAAATATATAGAGGACCCTTCCCCCACTCCCCATCCTGAGGGATCCTATTGTGTGCTTGCAGCTGCCGGTGGGAAGAAGAGGAGGGGGGCCGGCAGCACAGTGAGGGGCCTGCAGGGGGAAATGTATGGTGCACAGGGAGGGTCATGGGTGTGGCGTGGGGGCAATTACTGGAACCGATCCCCTGTATGGCTCTCTCTGCAGCAGCTGAAAGACAGTGGGAGGAAGAAAGAAGAAGCCAGCTTTTAGCTGTGCAGAGAGAGCCATACAGGGGATCGATTCCAGTAATTGCCCCCCAGCCGTGCCGGTCACCTTCCCTGCCCACATCTGATTCACCCAGCTGCCTGGGCCCCGTACAGGAGGACTGGTGGTACCCCCTTATCCACGGCCCTGAGTGTGGGCGGGGGGGAATTACCATTATCAATACAAATCAGGGATTCACCCCTAGTCTCACCTGGACAGGGTTATGATGGACATCATTGTGATGGCGTTCCAGAATACAGAGCGGTCTTCTTTGCTCTGGATCCAGTCGGTCATACGCCCCGTATAAGAGGGCAGGGCCATCTCTCCTGTTAGGAGGGACAAAGCATTAAGACAATTAACTAGAAATACATATACTAACAGATGTTCTGCAAATCCAACAAAACAAGAGATGCAACTTTGGCAAAACTTTGATGCAACTTTGGATGAGTGCGACTTTGGTGGGACTTTGGCTTTGACCAAGGATGGTTGTTTGTGCTGTACAAAGTCACACACAAGTCACATGTATAACATTCAGGTGTGACTTTCATGCGACTCTGGAGTGCTTACATTGAAGTCTATGGCCCTCAAGTCGCATGAAAGTCAGACCAAAGTAGTGCAGAAACTACTTTCAAGTCGCTAAAAAACTTGAAGTCACACATATATGAATGGTACTCATTGGGGAACATAGGGTGTGGCTAGTCATGCGACTTTGGACCGCAAAGTGTGAATGGGCTCATAGGCTGCTTTCACATTGATCCGTTTTTGTTCAGTTATTCAGTTAAAAAAAGCAGAAGAAAAACTGCATCCCTTTAAATGTTATGTAGCTCTTCACACTGGTCTATTGAGCTTCAGATGCTGGTAGAAAAAATCCTGCTTGCTGCATTTTTGGTGTTGTAAAAAAAAAAACACACCAAAAAATGCATTCCTCCATTGAAATAAATAGAAAATGCATGAAAAACGCATCTAAAACCCAACACACCTGTGGGAAGTTCACAAGCCCCGGTTTACAGAATTTCATTGCAAGAGAAATCACATGTTCAATGGTGCCCTTCTAATCAACTCAGCACAGTGAGATTTTGGTAAAGCTTCCTGGTGGACTTCAGTGCGATTTTAGCCCCATAGACTTCTATGTTATCTCACAGAAGTCACATCAGCATAGATAAGAAGCATTCCTATAGGACTTTGATGGATTCAGTGTTTATTTTAAACCCTCAACTCTCTTCCCTGGTCATCCTTCATCCATCAATTTTGATACAGCTGTGATTTTGGAGTCTTCCTTCAATCGATCGACCCTTCGATTGAGCGACCCTTCCTTCAATCAATCCTTCCTTTCTTTGATTGATCGTTCCTTCCTTCCTTCGATCGATCCTTCTTTTGATGACTCAATCCTTCCTTTGATCAACCAATCGTTCCT